TAACCCTAACCCTAACCCTAACCCTAACCCTAACCCTAACCCTAACCCTAACCCTAACCCTAACCCTAACCCTAACCCTAACCCTAACCCTAACCCTAACCCTAACCCTAACCCTAACCCTAACCCTAAACCCTAACCCTAACCCTAACCCTAACCCTAACCCTAACCCTAACCCTAACCCTAACCCTAACCCTAACCCTAACCCTAACCCTAACCCTAACCCTAACCCTAACCCTAACCCTAACCCTAACCCTAGTGTTTTCTTCATCTCCTCCAGCCAAGGCAGCAGTTATGCCTGGCATTGTGTTTATTTGTCAAAAAATGTAAATAAAAACAAATTAACCCTAACCCCCATGGTAGGTATGAATCACACCCCAAAGCCTCTATGTGCTCATCCTGACAGAAATAGAGTCTGTACACACTGATGCAATAGATAAGCATGTATCTTCTGTGCAATCAGGCCATGAGGTGATTTCAAGGAAGTCAAGTTCTGGTTGGTCCTTGCCAATTGCCATTTCCGCGCCAGTGTCCACATCAGATGAGCTAAAGTCAGTTGACAGGATGGAGACAGGCATGGGCCATTGGTGGTCCTGCACAACTTCATTGAGAGGATGTGCCACCATTATGGCTTGAGTTCAGCATGCATCAGAGCCTCAGGTTTGAATTGGTCAAATGTGGCTATCCTTACCAGATTGCACCACCACATCAGCTGTGTCAATGGCAAGGAAGTCCAGGCCCAGGTGCACAGCAGCCTGGGTCCCTTCTACTGGAACAACTTATTGGCAAGTTGGTGTGCAAGTGTTTTGGCATGCACCATCAATTCCCTGACAGGGTCACCACACCCTGGCATGTTTGAGCACAAGATTGCTCTCTCCTTCAGCATGAGCATTGTGCTGATCATGCACCTGATGACACCAATAAATCTCATGGCAATGAGGGCAAGTCTAACAGGTGTGCTGGTGATGAGGGTGAGGCCAACAGGTGCACTGGTGGCAAGGGTGAGGTGGACAGGTGTGCTGGCAATGTCCAATGGTTGCACTGATGGCAAGGCTGAGTCCAATGGGTGTGCTGGTGATGAGGGAGTGGCACATGGGCAACAAGGGTGAGTTTTTCTTCTTGTTTGAGATCTGGGTGACAAACACAGGGTGTGTTGGACTTAGGTCTGGAGGCCAATCCAGTAGGACCGACCCTGCGGGTTGTGGACAGGCGAGATTGACGGAGAGGTGACGGTCCA